AAATTGAGATTCGACCAAGGAGAACCGAGGAGGAAATCGACGACGAGAAGCGTGAACGCTTCAGAGATGAGAAATTCAATGAGGTCGAGCGCGAAGGTGGTCGACGATGAGAGGCGCGACTGCAGAGTGGAGCACATCGAAATTCCGACGACTCGAAACGAATGTCGCGACGATGAAGTGCGCGTAGCGTGGGCACGTTGAGATTAGGACCTTGATCCGCGTGTGCAGATAGGTCGCTGTGATACCATGTAAGAAATAGAGTTGAAATGATTAATTAGGTAAGAAGCCCAAGGCTTTATAAGTACATGGCAAGATGAGAGAGAATGGATGAAGGGGGAATTGGAGGGAATCCCCATTGGGATCTCCGGAATCTCCAATTGGGTAATTGGAGATTGGGGGGATCACAATTGGGTGAGGTTGGGATTTGTGAGTACACCCCAACCCACTAGAACATTCACGACCTAAAATAGGATATAAAAGTACAAATACAAAAGTGGTATTTGCAGTCTATTTCTAACAAGCCCTGCTGCATCATGCCTGATACCCTGCAGTTCTCAGGGTATTTGCCAACGTAGGCGTACAGACATGGGTATGCCTTTTGGTAGCACCCATTTGCATCCGCAACGAAGAAGGATCGAAGGGGGCTGCTGCTGTTGCGAGAGGCAGCGTGGCTTAGGGCTAGTAGGTGTGGAGAGAACAAGAACAAGTTTGGTGCTAGCCTATGACGTGTGCAAATATGATACACGTGTACAGGCGCCGGAGTGCAGCACTAGGTGTGTGACATCTGATAAACGGACTAGCTTTCCGGAGTCCCACATCAGAGGCCTAAGAACTATACGCCTCCTGGAACACCCTCGCCTTCTCCGAGGCAGAGGCCCAGTCTGGTAGAAACGGGAGAACCGCCACAAATGCGTGTCTTGGCTCCTACATGATGTTCTTCAGTGAGATCAGCATCATTCGTGCCTGTCACCGCACTGGTGCAAACACGTGCGTGCCGAAGCTGTACACCATGATGCAAAAAACTAAGCCATCGAGTTCTGGAATCGACATCCGCACGAGCACTGCATCCCAGCGGCGGTAAGAAGCATTGGCTGTTGTCAATGATAATGATATGCGGAAATGCGTCAACGTTCATCCTAATGTACTACACACCTGGGCGGATGCGAACCAGTCGCCAGTTTGTAGGGTGCTTACATGGTGTTTGGTGCATCAAGGGGTGCTCGAAAATCGATTAGATTACCGTATTCCACGAGGAGAAGTCGAAGGTCGAACTGAGCAGGTCCTGGGAGTCGCAGCTCGTCAAGGTCGTGGTGGCGAGATTAACAAGGTGGTAGTTCGCAATGAGATCTGCAAACGTGGACAGCCAAACCAACACGAATGGGATAGGGTCAAGGGGCTCCAGTCCAAGCACGATGCCGGGAAGCCCTCCATCTCATGCTGCCGAGGAATGCGTTGAAGCATGCTAGCAGCTCGTACGCACCTAACACCGTCCTTTTATCCGCCACTATGGAGGCGTGGATTTGTAGGACAGCAAATGCGATTGCCGGATTTTCGAAATGAAATGGCCCTGCAATATGTCCTGGGGCGGTATGCATCGCGCCTGGCCCTGGGATTACGATCCATTATTCCTGAAGTGAACCTAAGGGAAGACACTAACGCAATTTGTATTCACTCAATTGCTGCTGCGTGCAGTCCATGCACGCCCACCATAGTTTAACACCAGTGTGCGTGTGTGTGCAACCCGATATGCCAGAGAGGCCAAGGACAAAGATACGGGTGGGGGGTCAGCATGCTGATTGGTGGGTATAACATGTGACAGTTGTGCCTCTCATGCATGCCATTTCTCACATGTCTCGCTTGGGCGGATCTTCTATCCAATGCTGTGCCATTGGGCGGGGGTTTTCGGTAGGGCACCTGTGTGCTCGTTTGCACTCCCCGTATGCAGCCAGTTACAACATCCACCCCTTCGCCCACCTGTCGTGATTTGCTGTCACGTATGTTGCGACTATGCCGGCGGAAACATCTACATGTCGCTGCCACGTTGATACGGCTTTAGAGCACGCTTTAACATGACAGGTTGCATTCGTGAAACACAAACACCTCTTACATAGCACTGTACCCAAGAGCTTCCTACAATGTTATGGCACATTGTCAGACAAGTAAACAACAAAGTTGGCCCCCCTGTGCGATTACGCCAATCAACATAGCCCCATGCCACACTATGCAGAAACAGCTGCAGACCCAAGGGTCGATGCGTCTTTCAGGGTGCTCACTCGACCGCCCTACTAGCAACCTCCATGACATATTCGGCAAGGCCCACAATGCCTGACATGACAGACTCGAACGCCTCGAGCGTCAAGGGCACGTCCTAGTTGTCGGTGTCCATGTCCTACGCTGCGTAATTGTGGACATGGTGGCTCTTGGTCGGAGTGTGCGCGAGGCGGTCTATGAGGGCGGGGCTGCCCAGTTGCATGTGCTCCAACAGCTGCCATGGCTCCATCTTTGTGACTTGGGCAAAGCATGGGAACAAATCTCCAGCCCTTCGGAGGACCCAGCAATATGTTAGAATATACCATGCTATGCTAGTTGTGTATATTGTGTTTACATCCCTAGTTGGGTGTACACCTGTGTTGGGGTGTCAATCCAACCCAATTGTGGTTGGTGCCCCCAAACACAAGGACCACAATTGTGGGGGCACCACAAGTGGGTTGGCTAAACCACTGGTGGTACACCACACTTGGACCACCTCCAACTGGTGGTCAACCACATTTGGAAGGATCCTCCTTCCTTGTGATTGGTCCTAACCCCCCTTTCCCTTCCAACCTTCCCTTCCTAGCTCATCTCTCTCTTCCTATGTAATGCCTTTGCTTCATCAATAAACTGAACCTTTCTGTTTCTAACATGGTATAGAGCAATAATGGCTCACGCCAACTTTTAAATCCCGATCCTTCCCCACGCTTCCGCCCCGTCCCCTTCCGACGTGCACCTCATTGCCGTCCCCTCCATCGCCGCTGCTAGACTCCTAGCCGCCGCCTCTCAACTAGTTTTCTGTTGGGTGGATTTTCAAAAACCCCCAATGCGCCAAACGCCATAGCTCGCTCGATAGTTGACACAATTGAGTGATTTGACTTGCAAAAGAACGCTCTTGGTGTCAGCTACAACGTCGTAAAATTTCGAACTGTTTCATCGCTTGGATTGTCAGATATCGCTTTCCGAAGTTTGCACACTTTCCTGGATGTGATCACGAAGTGCTACTGAAATTTCTACCAAGTCCTATTTTCATCAGCTAACTGCCATCTTTCCCCATCTTTTGCCTCCTCACCTGCACCTGCTCATCGCCGCCTTACCACTGCTGCAGCCATAGCAGCAGCAGCAGAAGCAGCAGCAGACTCAGCAGCAGCAGCACCAGCAGCAGTAGCAGCAGCAGCAGCAGCAGCTGAAGGAGCAGCAGCAGCAGCAGCAGCAGCAACAGCGGCAGCAGCAGCAGGGCAGCAGCAGCAGCGCAGCAGCAGCAGCAGCAACAGCAGCAGCAGCAGCAGCAGCAGGAGCAGCAGCAGCGCAGCAGCAGTGGCAGCAGAAGGAGCAGCAGCAGCAGCAGCAGCAGCACAGCAGCAGCAGCAGCAGCCAGCAGTATCTACAGCCATCCCATCCTCCCCTCCTCTTTGAGCCGCCGCGGGTCCACCCGCCGCCGCTCCCTCCCGGCCACCGCGGGTCCACCCGCCGTCGCCTTCCTCCCACTCCGTGTCACCAATGGCATCCTTTCCCCCTCCCGTCGACGTCTCGACCCTCGATCATCTCGTGCGCGCTGCCGACAACTCAGCAACCAACTGGTATTCATTCGTCGGCAGCCTCCACCGCGTCCTCGGCAGTGCTTATGTCCTGCCGTTCCGCCTCCTGGACATCATGCTTGGTCTCCCAGAGGGTGACCTTGGGGACCCGCCGCCTCACCCTGGCGATCCCCCCCCTCTCATTCCCCATCCCGGCGAGGAACCTCCGCCCCCCATGGTACCCGTTGGCACCAGCACTCGCGCTGCCACCGCTGAAGTTGAGCAGCTCTTCCTTACTCAGCGTCGTGAGTTCCTCGTGCTCCATACTGATTACCTGATCGCGTTGGAGGAACACGAGCGGTCGGCAACCCTCCGCACCCAGCATGCCGCTACCGCCGCCGCTTATGCCGCTGACTCTGCGCGATTTGCTGAGCGTCGTCGCGCCTGGCTCGAGGCGGACAGCCGTGCTACTGGTGCCCTTCTCCTTGCCATCCCGTCTGCGCTCATGCGCAACTTCCAGGCACGTCGCATCGGCTCCCGCCAGATCTGGCTCGAGCTTGAGGCAATGTTCGAACGCACCGACTTCGATGCTGTCGGACCGCTCTTCAAGGAATACTTCAGCATCACGATCGAACACAGTGCTGGCGCCGTTGACTACACCAGCCGTCTCCTGGACCTTGCCTCCCGCCTTGAGGCTCGCCAGACTACTCTCCCCCCCAACCTTCAGATCTACCGTCTCCTCGAAGGCCTCTCCCCTCAATATGAAGTGCGCGTCATCGCCTTCACTGAGGCTCAGCCCCGCGCCTCCCTTGACACTGTGGTCCAATGGATCATTGACGCTGAGGCCCGCCTTCTCTCAACCCCCCCCTCCGGCTGAACTCCACCGAGTCCCAAAACCCCCAGCTTGCAGTCACACAGCCGCGTCGTGGCGGGCGCCCACGTGGCGGCCGCACCAACCCTCAGGGAGGGGGTGGAGGTGGCGGTTGTGGGGGCAGCGGAGCCGGCGGCGGTGGTGGCGGGGTCGAGGGTGGCAGCAGTGGTGGTGGTGGAGGCAGTGGTGGCTCATCTGGTAGCCGTGGTGGCCGCCCTGGCACTCTCCCCCCATGTTCCTATCTTCGCCGTTTTGGTCCCAGGGCGGGTGAGCGCTGCACCCAAACCAACCATCCCCCCCGCGACCTGCTTCAAGGCGTATGATGACGCCTGGTTCGAGCGCGGCAACACTGGCACACCCCCACGCTGGTCTGCCATGGATCCCCGCCCCTCTCTCCAGGATGTCAAAACTCTTCCGTCTTTTCTCCCCTCTCATCTTCAGCTCTCCTCCTCCTCCTCCTCTGTCGCTGACCCCATAACTCCCCAGGAGCTGCAGCAGTTTCGCCGCTTCCAGCAGCTGCAGCTGCTGCAGCAGCAGCAGCAGTGGGGCTCTGGTGGTCAGGCTGCAGCCGCAGCTGCAGGAGCCGCAGCCGCAGCATCTGCATGGCAGCAGCAGCAGCTTGGCTTTGGCACCGCCGCCATGGCTGCCACAGCCACACCAGGTCCTCCTGGCTTTCCCCTCTGGGGCTCTCCTTCCCCTAGTGCTCCCGCCTCCCACTCCAGCTTTCTAGGCGAGCTCATGCGTTCTTCCCCTGCTTCCACTTCCATGTATCCCTCTGTTTTTAATGCCAGTGATTTCCAGTACCCCGTGTCTTCAGCTCCCTCCTCGCTCACGATTGACTTTGTTCTCGATAGTGGTGCCACTGAAACTGCCCTCAAAGACGCCGGCACCCTCACCTCCCTCCCTTTCCCCACCAACGTTCATGGTGCTGATTCCAGCTTCTCCATCCCTTGCACTCATCTCTCCACCCTCCCCTGCCCCCCCTTCCCCTCCGGAGTGGTCACTGGTCTCCACATTCCCTCCCTTCGTCATAACCTGCTCTCCATTCGTGAACTCCAACAGGTTGGCATCACTACCCTCTTCCCCGCCTCTGCCACCTACTGTGACCTCCTCCACGGCCCCACTCGCCGCCTCCTTCATCGCCTCCCACTTTGCCCTCGCTCTCGTCAGTACATCCTCCGCACACCCCGCCCCTCCTCATGCCACGTGACCACTCGTGCAGGCACCTCCACTCTCCCCCCTCCCCTCCCTCTAGAGCCACCTTCCTCCAACTCCACCTCCTCCCCATGCTCTTGTCGCGCACTGTCCCACCCCGCTGTTCTCATCCACCACCGCCTTGGTCATATGAACTTTCCCACACTTCGTAAAGCCGTCTCCTCCCGCTTGCTTGATGGTCTTCCCCCCACTCTTCCTCCCCTCCCGTCCTCTTCCGCTCCCCCATGCGCCACATGCATTCATGGAAAGCTCAAACAACAGCCTCACCTCAGTCATCCTTCCTTTGCTGCTGCCCCCCTTGACCTCGTCCACATGGACCTCTGGGGCCCTAACCCTTCCCCTTCCCGCCAAGGGCACCGGTACCTGCTTGTCCTAGTCGACGACCACAGCAGGTACTCCTCGGTGTTCCTCCTCCACACGAAGGCCGAGGCCCCTGCTGTCATCGTTACGTGGGCCGAGCAGTGCCGAGTCCACTTTGGTCGCCCCATCCGCCGCCTCCATTCCGACGGCGGTGGTGAGTTTCTCAACCGCACCCTCTCCTCCTACTGCTCAACCCATGGCATCCAGCAGACTCATACCCTTCCCCACTCCCCTCAGCAGAACGGTGTTGCTGAGAGTCGCATTCGTGAGATCACCAAGACGGCCCGCTGCCTCCTCACTCATGCCTCCACGCCCCCTTCTCTTTGGGGCTATGCCCTTGTCCATGCTGCTCTCCTTACTAATCTTTACCCACATCCTCAACGCCAGTCTGTCACTCCCACTGAGCTCTGGGCTAGCACCAAGCCAGATGCTGCCATTCTCCGTATCTGGGGTTGCAAGGCATATGTCCTCATCCCCCCACCTGACCGCTCTCGGCAGGCAGGAAAGCTCGCCTCCAAGGCCATTGAGTGTGTCTACCTTGGCCACGCTCGCTCTGCCCCTGGTTACCTCTTCCTTCACCCGTCCTCAGGCCGCCTCCTACAGAGCCGTGACGTGGTGTTCGATGAGAGCATCCCGTTCTATCATTCTGTTCCGCCTTCCGACCCCCTTCCTCCTCTCTCCCGCCCCCTCACCTGGGCTGATGCTGTCATTCCCCCACTCCTTCCCCAGGCTCCCCTCCTTCCTCCAAATCCTGCTCCTCCCCCTCCTCCTTCCTCAGGTGACATTTACGACCCAGCTGTCCCTGACTCCCCTGCTCACTCTGCCTCATCGCACCAGCAGCAGCAGCAGCAGCAGCAGAAGGAGCAGCAGCAGCAGCAGCAACAGCATCAGCAGCAGGTGCAGCAGCAGCAGCGGATGGAGCAGCAGCAGCAGCAGCAGCAGCAGCAGCAGCAGCAGCAGGAGGTGCAGCAGCGGATGGAGCAGCAGCAGCAGCAGCAGCAGCAACCGCAGGCAGTGCAGCAACATCAGCCGCAGCAGGAGGTGCAGCAGCAGCACCAGCAGCAGCCACAGCAGCAGCAGCAGCAGCCACTGCAGCAACCTCATCGGCATCGCCGCACCACCTCTCCGTTCATCCTCCCACGCATCCACACTCGCTCTCACGGCCCACTCATAGGCCATCCATGGGGTTGGCCAACACCACCCCCACCCTCCTTTCCCTTCATTGAGGACTCCCATGAGGAGCTCATTGGCGTTCAGCAACAAACACCTTCCCTCACGCCTCTCTACCCGGGCTTCCTTGGCCTCCTCATCCTTGGCATCGCTACCGCTCCCACCAGATTCACTCCGTCCAACTTCCTTGAGGCCATCACCTGCCCCGATGCTGCCAAGTGGATCCAGGCTATCTTTGCTGAATGTGAGGCCTTCATCCGCAATGCCTCATTCGTTAACATTGTCCCCTCTCCTGACGACGTCATTGTTGAAGGCCTCTGGGTGTTCCGAGTGAAGCAGCTGCCGGGTGAGGAGCCGGTCTACAAGGCCCGGTATTGTGCCAAGGGCTTCACCCAGACCCATGGCATCGACTACTGGGAGATATTCTCTCCCACTGCCAATCTCCCAACTCTCCGTGCCATCCTCGACTATGCTGTTCGCATTGGCATGGAGATTGCCTCCATGGATGTCTCCAACGCCTTCCTGCAAGGCGAGCTCCAGGAGCGGGTCCTCTTGCGGCGGCCTCCAGGCTTTCATGCAGCCTTCCCTGCCAACACAGTCTGGGAGCTGCGCCACCCGGTTTATGGCCTCAAGCAGGCTCCTCGCGAGTGGCACAACAAACTGGCCGCCACTCTGCAGTCCTTGGGGTTCCATGCCTCTCAGTCTGATGCCAGCCTTTTCCTTCGCTCCTCTCCCACCCGCTTCTTCATCCTGGTGTATGTCGACGACATGATCCTGTTCGCTGACGATGCTGCCGCCATGCAGCAAGTGAAGGACGCCCTGCATGCACGCCTCAAGTGCAAGGACCTGGGTGAGCTCAAGCACTATCTGGGCATGACCATTACCCGGGACCGCACATCGCGCACCATTACCCTCTCTCAGTCCTTCTACATCGACCAAGTCTTGCAGCGGTTCGACATGGCGCAGGCGAAGCCGGTTACCACTCCCCTGCAGACCGACCACCAGCTTGCCCCTCCTCCTGCTCCCTCCTCCTCTGACCATCCTTACGCTGAGCTCGTCGGCTCGCTGATGTACGCTATGATGTGCACCCGCCCCGACCTTGCCTACCCCATCAGTGTTCTTGCTCGATTCGTCGGTACCGGTCGCCACACTGATGAGCACTGGGCTGCAGCGAAGCGGGTCCTCCGCTACCTCCGTGGTACCAAGGACTATGTCCTCACCCTCGGAGGCTCTTCTCCTCCCCTCCTCTCTGGCTTCAGTGACTCCTCCTGGGCTGACTCCCAGCCGGATCGCCGTTCCTCTCAAGGCTACGGCTTCACCCTTGGCAGCGGCCTCATCAGCTGGCGCTCCACTCGCTCCTCCTCCATCGCCCTCTCATCCTGCGAGGCTGAGCTCTATGCTTGCACCATGGCCGCTCAGGAGGCTCGCTGGCTCACCTTCCTCCTTGCTGAGATCGGTGCTCCTCAGCGCTGTCCCACCCTCTGGTGCGACAACGCCAGCACCATCCATCTCACAAAGGACCCTGTCTTCCATGGCCGCTCCAAGCACATTGAACTCCGCTACTTCTTCGTTCGAGAGTTGGTCCAGCAAGGTCACTTGGTGGTCCGCAAGATCGCTGCAGAGGCCAACTTGGCCGACATCTTCACCAAGGCCCTCCCGAAGACCGCGCACTCTGCCCTCCTCCGCCTTCTCGGCCTTGGGCCCCGCCCCCCTTCCTGATTCTGGGGTTGTACCCTACATATACACTAGCTTTGCATGCTATGGGGTTGTGTTAGAATATACCATGCTATGCTAGTTGTGTATATTGTGTTTACATCCCTAGTTGGGTGTACACCTGTGTTGGGGTGTCAATCCAACCCAATTGTGGTTGGTGCCCCAAACACAAGGACCACAATTGTGGGGGCACCACAAGTGGGTTGGCTAAACCACTGGTGGTACACCTCACTTGGACCACCTCCAACTGGTGGTCAACCACATTTGGAAGGATCCTCCCTCCCTTGTGATTGGTCCTAACCCCCCTTTCCCTTCCAACCTTCCCTTCCTAGCTCATCTCTCTCTTCCTATGTAATGCCTTTCCTTCATCAATAAACTCAACCTTTCTGTTTCTAACAGCTTCAACCTGTGTACCTGCTCTTGCTTGACGCGAGACGTTCGTGGAGGCGATTTGGCGAGGGAGTTCGCCTATTCTGGCGGGGTCTGAGGGGAAACTCGAGAACGAGATTTAAGAGATGGTCGAAATTGAGATTCGACCAAGGAGAACCGAGGAGAAAATCGACGATGAGAAGCGTGAAAGCTTCAGAGATGAGAAATTCAACGAGGTCGAGCGCGAAGGCGGTCGACAATGAGAGGCGCGACTGCAGAGTGGAGGACGTCGAAATTCCGACGACTCGAAACGAATGTCGCGACGATGAAGTGCGCGTAGCGCGGGCACGTTGAGATTAGGACCTTGATCCGCGTGTGCAGATAGGTCGCTCTGATACCATGTAAGAAATAGAGTTGAAATGATTGATTAGGTAAGGAGCCCAAGGCTCTATAAGTACATGGCAAGGTGTGAGAGAATGGATGAAGGAGGAATTGGAGGGAATCCCCATTGGGATCTCCGGAATCTCCAATTGGGTAATTGGAGATTGTGGGGATCATAATTGGGTGAGGTTGGGATTTGTGAGAACATCCCAACCCACTAGAACATTCACAACCTAAACTAAGAAATAAAAGTACAAATACAAAAGTGGTATTTGCAGTCTATTTCTAACACTTGGAACATGCTGGGGATGAGTATAGCAACTCCCACTGCAGTCTTGTTCAGGAAGCGGTCCTCGAGGTAGAGCCAAATGGCGTTGGCAGACGGGTAGTTGTGGTAGGTTTCGACGAGTTCGGGAGGAGTGGTGCCCATGAAGACACTAATGACCGCACCATCGGCCTTCTCCCAATTCTTGTACTTGAGCAGTGCAGCAGCATAAACTGCTTCGGCGGCGGCATTAGCTGGATCGGCGGACCTCTCGGGTTTAGGAGGCTCTTTGCCGTCACCGATGTTGACAAGGACGTCGGTGAGCTCGAGCCCCTTCACCTCGCGACTGAGGAGGTGCTTGTCGACACCATAGCGCCAAGCCTTGTAGTTGGAGCATGTACCGTCCGGCTCGAGACAAAGGAGCGGGATCGGGTTGGCGAGTGAAGTAGTTGAGTAAGCCATTGTCGGTGTGCAGCGCGGCACTTCTGGAAATTGGTTGACGAGAATTGCTGAAAATCACTCTGACGGCTGTATCAAAATGCCGCTAAGTAGGAAATGGCGTCGGCGAAAATTCGTTAAAACGCCGACTTGAAACCGAATCTGAGCCTATGTCTAACCCCGGACCCACACACCCCCCAACACACCCCCAGGCCCTGTCCCGCAACTACACAGCTCCGCAACCAGCTCCGCAACCAGCTCCGCAACCAGCTCCGCAACCAGCTCCGCAACCAGCTCCGCTCGGCTTCAACCTGTGTACATGCTCTTGCTAAACGCGAGACGTTCGTGGAGGCGATTTGGCGAGGGGAGTTCGCCTATTCTGGCGGGGTCTGAGCGGAAACTCGAGAACGGGTTTTAAGAGATGGTCGAAATTGAGATTCGACCAAGGAGAACCGAGGAGGAAATCGACGACGAGAAGCGTGAACGCTTCAGAGATGAGAAATTCAACGAGGTCGAGCGCGAAGGCGGTCGACGATGAGAGGCGCGACTGCAGAGTGGAGCACGTCGAAATTCCGACGACTCACAACGAATGTCGCGACGATAAAGTGCTCGTAGCGCGGGCACGATCAGATTAGGACCTTGATCCGCGTGTGCGGATAGGTCGCTCTGATACCATGTAAGAAATAGAGTTGAAATAATTGATTAGCTAAGGAGCCCAAGGCTCTATAAGTACATGGCAATGTGAGAGTGAAAGGATGAAGGGGGAATTGGAGGGAATCCTTTTTGGGATCTCCGGAATCTCCAATTGGGTAATTGGAAATTGGGGGATCATAATTGGGTGAGGTTGGGATTTGTGAGTACACCCCAACCCACTAGAACATTTATAACATTTTTCTTGAAGCAGGAGGCAAGGGCGTGGTTGGTGCCGCCACACACCTGGCCGGCACGAGGGCCGCGCTTGATGACATAGGGATACGGGGGGAAGCGGTTGCGCTGGAATGGCGCCGAAACGGCATAGGCTTGAGGCACGGGAGCGCGGATTGCATTGGCCTTGGCTTGAGCGCTGTTGTCCTTTTCGGTAGAAAGGAGCGTGGATGAGACCTTGGCAAATGTGAGGTCTGCAGGAGCAAGGCCCAAGAGCATCTTGCGTGTGACTTCGTATGCCGGAGTGAGGCCGACTAGGAGAGCGGCTGCAGGGGCTTGCTCGGGGAAGACTATCCCCAACTGTTTGAGTTCACCATGAATGGACTGCACCTTGGTGACATAGTCCGCCATGCCTGGCGAGTCCTGGAGCCGCACTTGGAACATGCTGGGGATGAGTATAGCAACTCCCACTGCAGTCTTGTTCAGGAAGCGATCTTCGAGGTAGAGCCAAATGGCGTTGGCAGACGGGTAGTTGTGGTAGGTTTTAACGAGTTCCGGAGGAGTGGTGCCCATGAAGACACTAATGACCGCACCATCGGCCTTCTCCCAATTCTTGTACTTGAGCAGTGCAGCAGCATAAACTGCTTCGGCGGCGGCATTAGCTGGATCGGCGGACCTCTCGGGTTTAGGAGGCTCTTTGCCGTCACCGATATTGACAAGGACGTCGGTGAGCTCGAGCCCCTTCACCTCGCGACTGAGGAGGTGCTTGTCGACACCATAGCGCCAAGCCTTGTAGTTGAAGCATGTGCCGTCCGGCTCAAGACGAAGGAGCGGGATCGGGTTGGCGAGTAAAGTGGTTGAGTAAGCCATTGTCGGTGTGCAGCGCGGCACTTCTGGAAATTGGTCGACGAGAATTGCTGAAAATCACTCTGACGGCTTTATCAAAATGCCGCTAAGTAGGAAATGGCGTCGGCGAAAATTCGTTAAAACGCCGACTTGAAACTGAATCTGAGCCTCTGTCTAACCCCGGACCCACACACCCCCCCACACACCCCCAGGCCTTGTCCCACAGCTACACAGCTCCGCAACCAGCTCCGCAACCAGCTCCGCTCCGCTTCAACCTGTGTACCTGCTCTTGATTTGACGCGAGACGTTCGTGGAGGCGATTTCGCGAGGGGAGTTCGCCTATTCTGGCGGGGTCTGAGGGGAAACTCGAGAACGAGTTTTAAGAGATGGTCGAAATTGAGATTCGACCAAGGAGAACCGAGGAGGAAATCGACGACGAGAAGCGTGAAAGCTTCAAAGATGAGAAATTCAACGAGGTCGAGCGCGAAGGCGGTCGACGATGAGAGGCGCGACTGCAGAGTGGAGCACGTCGAAATTCCGACGACTCGAAGCGAATGTCGCGACGATGAAGTGCTCGTAGCGCGGGCACGTTTAGATTAGGACCTTGATCCGCGTGTGCGGATAGGTCGCTCTGATATCATGTAAGAAATAGAGTTGAAATGATTGATTAGGTAAGGAGCCCAAGGCTCTATAAGTACATGGCAAGGTGAGAGTGAATGGATGAAGGGGGAATTGGAGGGAATCCCCATTGGGATCTCCGAAATCTCCAATTGGGTAATTGGAGATTGGGGGGATCACAATTGGGTGAGGTTGGGATTTGTGAGTACACCCCAACCCACTAGAACATTCATAACGTAAACTAGGATATAAAAGTACAAATACAAATGTGGTATTTGCAGTTTATTTCTAACACCACATAGAGTTTTCGTCCTTGCAAGCTGCGCAGAGGAGTTGCTGTATAATTTGGTTGAGACCCTCGGTCTATCCATCTGTCTATGTATGGTAAATGGAGGGCATGGCGAGTTTCGTTCTGAGAACTTGGGGTCTCGGTTAGAGATGAGTGTGGTTGGAATGCCATGCTGTGAGATAATGTAGTGAACGAACGGTTGTGCTGTCTCCTGAGTGCGTGCAGATGTGTGTGTCAGGATGAAGTGTCCGATTTTAGAGAATTTGTCGATGACAATGAGAATTGTGCCATGACTGCTTGTGGAATTTTGTAACCCGGTTATGAAGTCTAGGCTAACCTTTTGTCATGGATGTTCTGGGACAAGAGGAGGCTGTAGCAGTCCCGTTTTTCTCTGCTTGCTGCTCTTCATGCGCTGACATGTATCGCACAAGGTGACAAATCTCTCTATGTTGTCTACCATGTGGGGCCAGTAGTAATCCTTTGCAATACCGCTGAGCGTCTTGTTGCTACCGAAGTGTCCCGCGTATAGGACATTGTGGTATTCTTCGAGTAGTAACTGTTGCAAAGGAGGTTAATTTGGTACCCAGATTTTCGTTGATCCTTTCTTCTATGTGATGTCACTGTCCCACTGTAGCAGGTGTCGCTTTTCTTCCAAGGGAATTTTGGGTTCGATGGTGTACCTGTGTGTGAAGAGTCCCTTGAGTAGTGGATTCATCCCTTTGACCTGGATAGCGGCAACATCTGCTTTGTTTTTGTGGCCGGGCTTGTACACAATATCGTAGTGGAAGTGCATCTCGAGGAAGTCAATGCACCGGACCTGCCGCGTGGAGAGGTTTGGCTACGTCTTCAAATATTTCAGGCTGCAGTGGTCGGTGTAGACGGTTGTTTTTCGTCCTTTGAGATAACATCTTCACGTTTTGAAGGCGATGATAATAGCAATGGCTTCGTTGTCGTATATCAGGTAGTTTAGTTCTGCCTTGGGCAATTTTTTACTGAGGTAGACGATTGGTTGCAGTCCATTCCCCTGGTCTTGTATCAAGACTTCTCCCACTGCCTGGTCGCTAGCGTCAGCCTCGATGACGTAGTCGTGTTCGGGAGTCTGGCAAGATGAGTACGAGTGCAGAAGTGAGTGCCTGTTTCAGCTGCTCCACAGCTTCCTCATGTTTTGATTCCCACTTATATGGCGTGTTATTCTTCAGCAGATTCGTGAGTGGTGTGGTTATTTTCACAAACTGTGGCACGAACTTGTTGTAATAGTTAGCAAAGCCTAGGAACTGCTGCAACTCTTTCATGTTCTCGGATGTCTTCTACATGCGTACTACTTTGATTTATTGGGATCGACGTGAACTCCTCGAGCACTCACCATATGTCCGAGGAATTGGACCTTCTCGCGTGCGAATTCGCTCTTGGATAATTTGACATAAAATCGTTCTCGTCGAAGAATTTCAAAGACACATCGCAGGTGTTCGACGTGCTGCTTCATGTCGCGCGAGTAGATGTGGATGTTGTCCAAGTAAACCACTATGCATTTTTCCAAGAGTGGGCATAGAATATGGTTCATTTCAGCTTGGAATGTTGCCGGTACATTGGTGAGTCCGAACAACATTACGAGATAGTCGTACAACCCGTACCGAGTTCGGAAGGCAGTTTTATGGATGGAATTGTCCGCCATTCTTATTCGCCAGTATCTGGAACGCAGATCTGGGTTGGAAAATACCGTGGCTCCCGGAAGCTGGTCAAGTAGGTCATCGATTCGTGGAATCGGGCATTTGTTCTTGATGGTCTACTTGTTGCGAGCATAGTAGTTGATGCACATGCATAGGCTTCTGTCCGGTTTCGGTGTGAAGAGTACTGGGCACCGTATGGCGAAGTGGATAGTCAAATGAGTCCTTTGGCGAGGAGATACTCGATCTGTTTCTTCATGTCGGTTAGCTCCGTGGGCTGAGCCGATATGGTGCTCGGAAGGTCGGCTTCGAACCTGGTTCCTCCACGATCTCGTGTTGGTGCGTTGGGTATGACCGTAGCTTGTTCAGAAGGTCGTTGGGAAGAATGTCGTGGAACTCCTTCACTAATTCATTGATTTTTTCTAGAGTTTCCGAGGCTTTCTCTCCGTCGTGTTCCATATCTATTGCTATGGCCAGGAACCCGGTGTTTGTCGTTTCACGTCCTTCTTGAACCTGGCGAGTGTCTCCACTGGATATCTCCTGTATCGTCCCAGTTGGGTAGCTGGACTCTCCTTCCGTTGTTGTAGATCCTTGCTATACGGTTTACCCTGTTGATCTCGGTGTTGAGTTTCTTAAGGAAGTCTCGTCCGAAGATCAAGTCAAGTCCTTTTATATTGGTGATGGAGAGTGTAGGATTCCAGCGCAGTGGACCGATTTGTAGGTGTAACACTGTTTCGCCGTACACTGGTAACTTGCTGCCGTCCACCATCGTAGCTGAGTATGCTGAGGGCTTGTACTCTTCTCGAAGTCGGTCGATTGCTGCCTTGTCGCTTATGGTATATGATGCTCCGCCGTCCACGAGTGCTTGGCGTCGTCCTTTGCAGATGACCTCGAGCACGAGGGTAAGCGTTGCTCGGAGTACCCAAAGATAGCTTCATTGATAGGAACATAGGGCACATCCCAATGTTTCGTGCACACCTTTTCGATACAATCTACTCCTTTGCCAGCAGTTGGCCGAGGCTTCTTAGAGAAAGGCTCTTCTCCAGGTCCCGGAGTTTCCTTGATGACTATGTGTGTTGTTGATGCCAGGTTTTCCCTGGTGAATAATAGTCATGGAGTGGAGATTTTTCCCCACCATTCCCTCTTGCTGGCATCGAATCAGCTCGTTGAAGCAAAGTTTTCCTGAATCCTGCGACCGTTTTGGATCTTTTCTTTTTTGCCATCCAGATCCACAATCACTGGCGATTCTCGTTTTTTTACTTGTGATTGGCCGAAGAATTTCTGCCACTATTGCATGCCCGATACTCTGCACGTGCGGCTTTCATATTGTTGCAATCAAAGATTCGATGGCCCGGCACCCCACAAAAATCACACGTGTAGTTGGTGTTTCTCAGAGGCCGCTCGTCGAACCTGTCGATTTCCATCGGGTCAGCAAACGTGGGTGAGCCGAGCGGTTGCCTTGTCACGTACTGCCGACGTGCGCGCCGTCGTGTCCCGGCGTTGACCATGTCAAACCACTCCGCTGCCGATACGGCGTCAGTGTAGCTCGCGTAATTTGTCGTTGCTACCTGTCGTTTGACTTCGGTCTTCAGTCCTGCGAGATACGACTGTACTTTTTCCCCTTTGGTCAGGTTGGGGATGCGGTTATATAGTCTTCCATCTGGTGCGTGTACTGCGCGCTACACTCATGAACTGTCGACAGTGATGATTTTTTTCCCGGGCAAGGAAACCGGAATTTATCGGCTCAAAACGTTTCAACAGGTCGGTGTGGAACTGTTGCCATGTGGCTTCGCCATAGATGAAGGCACTGCTGTCGCCGATCCACTCGAGTGCCAACCCTCGCATCAGTGTCGTTGCGAGTCGCACGCGCTGACCGTCCCAGACTAGCAAGCTCCATCCGATGGTTGCGAAGTAGATCTCCATGCCGGCGACCCATCTCCGGACGTCGGAATTTGATCGCTCGGATCGAAGGGCTCAGGTGGTGCGGCTTTGAAGCCTCGAGAAACTGATGCGACTGCTGCGTCATCACCGTTGTCATTTTGTGCTGCGCGCTGGCGAGTCGAGTTACCCGCTCGAACTCATTTCGCCAAGCTTCGCAGTCGGCTCGCATCTCCTCCTATAGTGTAGCGATGCGCGCGAAGAGCTGTTGGGTAACCTCGGTGTTGTCAAAGTTCGCCATCCTATTCAAAACATGCGCGGGGGGTTTAATTAAAAAAATGCAGAGCTGGTGCTTACCAGAATTGGCGTTGAATTAGTCGCCAACGGCGGTTTTTCAAGGCAGGTATTCCCGCTGCTGCTGCTTTGCTGAGCGCGGCATCGTGACAAAAACTCTGTCACATGATCGAATGTGTCGAGGAAAAGTTGCACTATCGAGTGATACAAGGTGCTTTTATAATTTGAAGTTGCATCAGGTAATCAGGTTTATCCTATCCAAAGGGAATGGACCCTTCTAGAAACAGAATCACCCTGGGTATAGCCACGCGAGGCTATTGGCTTTAAGGGATTACGACAGGATTACGCTAGATATAGCGTGCCAGTACATCCCGAGCCTGGTCGGCTGGCCCTCAGAAGTCGGGAAACTTTTTCTGATTCTGGAAAAAAATAGGGAGTTTCTCGGTATATACCCTGATTGTGCAGGATTTTGTAAATAACACACCCTCTTTTTTCAGGCCTTTTGTAAGGTGAACTCTGATTGCTCAGCAAGGTTTCTTAGCGAAACCTGAATTTCTCAGCATTGTAGTGGGCAGTAGTCCTTTCCAATAGCGTATCTTGGGAGGCCAGTCAACATTTTCGAGGTTCTGACTCCCCCCCCCCCCCACCCCCACCCTCGAGGTTGTGTGAGGGCGCTGATTGGCCCTTGGTAAAAAAAATCTCCGCGCTATATGTTGGAGATCGTGTGAGGGATGTCATCGGCCCTTTGCCAAATATTGGCCTCGATGTATGCTGAGGGTTGTGTGAGGGCAATTGCTGGCCCTTCGCCAAATTTGCTCCATGTGTGCCTACCTTGCGGCTCTGCGAGGGAAGAGATTCCCTCTGCCCCTGCAATCTCGTTGCCTCCCCCCCTACCCAGCCCCTCCCCCTCTCCCCATTACCAATTGCCATTTCCTATTTATTTTTAATCTCGCCCCATGCGCAATTCGCTATGAATTCCCAGCACCCCCAACAATCAAGACTTGAATCCACAAATGCGCACACCACACACATAAACATCAACTATAACATGTATAGAAACTTCGAGAAATCAGGAAATTTTATTGAAGTAGTTCAGATGGCTCATGATTTTTTTTTAGGGAACCCTGAATACTCAGACTTTTCTACAGGGAGAATCCTTACGCATCAGCATGCCTTAAAACCAATCTAGGGCTCTGCTGGTCGGTGATATATGTTAGAAATAGACTGCAAATACCACTTTTTATTTATACTTTTATATCCTAGTTTAGGTTGTGAATGTTGTAGTGGGTTGGGGTGTACTCACAAATCCCAACCTCACCCAATGGTGATCCCCACAATCTCCAATTACCCAATGGAGATTCCGGAGATCCCAATGGGGATTCCCTCCAATTCCCCCCTTCATCCATTCTCTCTCACCTTGCCATGTACTTATAGAGCCTTGGGCTCCTTACCTAATCAATCATTTCAACTCTATTTCTTACATGGTATCAGAGCGACCTATCCGCACACGCGGATCAAGGTCCTAATCTCAACGTGCCCGCGCTACGCGCACTTCATCGTCGCGACATTCGTTTCGAGTCGTCGGAATTTCGACGTGCTCCACTCTGCAGTCGCGCCTCTCATCGTCGACCGCCTTCGCGCTCGACCTCGTTGAATTCTCATCTCTGAAGCGTCACGCTTCTCGTCGTCGATTTCCTCCTCGGTTCTCCTTGGTCGAATCTCAATTTCGACCATCTCTTAAAACTCGTTCTCGAGTTTCCTCTCAGACCCCGCCAGAATAGGCAAACTCCCCTTGCGAAATCGCCTCCACAAACGTCTCGCGTCAAGCAAGACAGGTACACAGTTGAAGCGGAGCGGAGCTGGTTGCGGAGCTGGTTGCGGAGCTGGTTGCGGAGCTGGTTGCAGAGCTGGTTGCGGAGCTGTGTAGCTGCGGGACAGGGCCTGGGGTGTGTGGGGGGGTGTGTGGGTCCGGGTTAGACAAAGGCTCAGATTCAGTTTCAAGTCGGCGTTTTAACGAATTTTCGCCGACGCCATTTCCTACTTAGCGGCATTTTGATAAAGCCGTCAGAGTGATTTCAGCAATTCTCATCGACCAATTTCCAGAAGTGCCGCGCGCACACCGACAATGGCTTACTCAACCACTTCACTCGCCAACCCGATCCCGCTCCTTCGTCTCTAGCCGGACGGCACATGCTTCAACTACAAGGCTTGCGCTATGGTGTCGACAAGCACCTCCTCAGTCGTGAGGTGAAGGGCTCGAGCTCACCGACGTCCTTCTCAACATCGGTGACGGCAAAGAGCCTCCTAAACCCGAGAGGTCCGCCGATCCAGCTAATGCGCCGCCGAAGCAGTTTATGCTGCTGCACTGCTCAAGTACAAGAATGGGAGAAGGCCGATGGTGCGGTCATTAGTGTCTTCATGGCACCACTCCTCCCGAACTCGTCGAAACCTACCACAACTACCCGTCTGCCAACGCCATTTGGCTCTACCTCGAAGATCGCTTCCTGAACAAGACTGCAGTGGGAGTTGCTATACTCATCCCCAGCATGTTCCAAGTGCGGCTCCAGGACTCGCCAGCATGGCGGACTATGTCACCAAGGTGCAGTCCATTCATGGTGAACTCAAACAGTTGGGGATAGTCTTCCCCGAGCAAGCCCCTGCAGCCGCTCTCCTAGTCGGCCTCACTCCGGCATACGAAGTCACACGCAAGATGCTCTTGGCCTTGCTCCTGCAGACCTCACATTTGCCAAGGTCTCATCCGCGTCCTTTCTGCCGAAAAGGACAACAGCGCTCAAGCCAAGCCCAATGCAATCCGCGCTCCCGTGCCTCAAGCCTATGCCGTTTCGGCGCCATTCCAGCGCAAACCGCTTCCCCCCGTATCCCTATGTCATCAAGCCGGCCCTCGTGCCGCCAGGTGTGTGGCGGCACCAACCACGCCTTGCCTCCTGCTTCAAGAAAAATGTTATAAATGTTCTAGTGGGTTGGGGTGTACTCACAAATCCCAACCTCACCCAATTATGATCCCCCCCAATTTCCAATTACCCAATTGGAGATTCCGGAGATCCCAAAAGGGATTCCCTCCAATTCCCCCTTCATCCTTTCACTCTCACATTGCCATGTACTTATAGAGCCTTGGCTCCTTAGCTAATCAATTATTTCAACTCTATTTCTTACATGGTATCAGAGCGACCTATCCGCACACGCGGATCAAGGTCCTAATCTGATCGGCCCGCGCTACGAGCACTTTATCGTCGCGACATTCGTTGTGAGTCGTCGGAATTCGACGTGCTCCACTCTGCAGTCGCGCCTCTCATCGTCGACCGCCTTCGCGCTCGACCTCGTGAATTTCTCATCTCTGAAGCGTTCACGCTTCTCGTCGTCGATTTCCTCCTCGGTTCTCCTTGGTCGAATCTCAATTTCGACCATCTCTTAAAACCCGTTCTCGAGTTTCCGCTCAGACCCCGCCAGAATAGGCGAACTCCCCTCGCCAAATCGCCTCCACGAACGTCTCGCGTTTAGCAAGAGCATGTACACAGGTTGAAGCCGAGCGGAGCTGGTTGCGGAGCTGGTTGCGGAGCTGGTTGCGGAGCTGGTTGCGGAGCTGGTTG